TAGGCAATTCTCCTGCCTCAGCCTCCTGAGTAGCTGGGATTACAGGCATGCACCACCATGCCCAGCTAATGTTTTGTATTTTTAGTAGAGACGGGGTTTCACCATGTTGACCAGGATGGTCTCGATCTCTTGACCTCGTGATCCACCCACCTCGGCCTCCCAAAGTGCTGGGATTACAGGCTTGAGCCACCGCGCCCGGCTAAAAAAAAGAATTCTTATTGGTAACATCTTGGTGGCTAGGTAGCTACTTTCTACAGAACATAATTCGTCTCTATAGGAGGCGGTTCTTAGATCATGTCTTGAATGGAAACACTCTTCTGTCTTAGCCTTACTTGAATCTTGCCTACAACAAAGTAGAGCATCAAGCATTGAAAGCTTCTGATCACCGGTCTTGAAATTTTCATCTTGAATGTCTTTGTATTAAACTGAATTTTCTTTTAAGCTAATAAAGATCACAATTTTCAGTTATCAGCAGTCTAATTTAACTCCTTCAATGAATGTTTATGTGACTGAAGCAAATGCGAATCATATTGTTTAAAAAAGTGGCAGAGTGGCCAGGCACGGTGGCTCAAGCCTGTAATCCCAGCACTTTGGGAGGCTGAGGTGGGCGGATCACGAGGTCAAGAGATCGAGACCATCCTGGCCGACATGGTGAAACACCATGTCTACTGAAAAATATGAAAAGTAGCTGGGCGTGGTGGCATGCACCTGTAGTCCCAGTTACTAGGGAGGCTGAGGCAGGAGAACTGCCTGAACCCAGGAGGCGGAGATTGCAGTGAGCCAAGGTTGCGCCACTGCACTCCAGCCTGGGGCCTGGCGACAGAGCAAGACTCCGTCTCAAAAAAAAAAAAAAAAAAAAAAAAAAAAAAAAAAAGTGGCAGAGTGACTGACTTAACTGATCAAGTATGATCCCTCATCCCTGATATTTATAGTTTTCGTAGTCATTTTACTTATTTTATTTATTAGCTAACTTTGTCTACATATATTTCTAGATATTGATTAGTGTAATTGATTATC